CACTAACTTGCTCATCACCTGCCTGCCACTCCTCCAACTGTTTCTGCAGCTCTGCCATGCTCCACTCATCACTTATCAATTCGCGATAAGCTTTCTCATATTTAACCAAACGATTTTGCAGTAAACGCGAACGTGGATAAAATTGCATTACACCTGTGTATTGTTGCAGCAAATCGATGCATTCCAGGGCACAACGACACTGCTGATAGAGCGTATTGTCCATTTCCTTACGCGTGAAATCACATTGCGCATACAATTGCTCTTGATTGCTCTGCTCGAGCAGAGTGCGTAGCAATTCGAATTCATTCGCTGGTACATTATGCTGCAAATCGCAGAGTTGCATTTGCAGTGCCGATAGCTCATTTGTGGCATAGGCGGTAAGCAAGCGTTCAAAGTATGTATTGAGCAGCATAAAAGTATCCTTCTGATATTTTTGTACATTTTCCTTGACTGCAGTGAAAGCTTCCTTATCGTGCTTGCAAGTGTTGTGACGATCGGTAATCGTATTGAGGGCGTGACTGCCCATCGCAGTGCCGAGCGCTTGCAGTTCGCGTATCATAGCCCATTGCTTAGAAATGCGATCGCGTTCTTGTTCTTCTCGACGGATCTCCGCTTGTAGTGCAATCAGGTGATCGAGCGCATCTTCGATTTCGGTTAGACGCATTTGCAGCTCATCTCTGAAGGAAAGAAAATATGATTTTGCACTTTACTTTAAACGGAAAACATTTAGTTTTGAGTGAGAAACTCTAATATTTGTCCATTAATTTTTTTTTTCGTTTTTGTACCGTCACTTTCGCTAGCGACCTTACCTGTATTGGATCCAATAAGGTTTTAGCTCATTCAGTCGCATTTCCAACGACTGACGCGTACATTCCCAATTCTGTTTGCGTTGCACAGCATCATCAATAGGTCCATTGACTTTTGCGCTGCCTTCCTTTTGCATAACCGCCGCTGTCGCATCTAATGCATTTAGGCTCAACACAGCAGCATGGGCTGATGTGGCACGTGGTACGGTGCTTGTACCATCATCACTCACAGTCCAATCGACCAGGGGATCGTACACAAATGCCTCCAGCAAAGTGAGCAAAGTTTCACGCTCCTTGCGCAATATTTTTAAAACATGCTCGCAGCCCAAGCGGAATGTGCCCTACGCGAAAAATTACGATAAATGATGAAAGTTTGCAAAAAAAAAGAAATAAAAATACTTAGATACAAGAAATACAATTGGTTGTATGTATATTTTTATTTTAACATTTTATTTTTTTATTTTTTTTTATTTTTGTATAACAAGTAGTTTTTAAGCAAAAAACAAAACCAAAAAATAAAAAAATTCTCATATAAAAATTTTAGATTATCGTTTATTTCTTCATGCTCTAATGATCGAAACTAATCCAATTCAGTATGGGACGACTTCTGACGTGGTCCAAAGTTGTGCGATAACATACATAAAAAAAAAAATATTCCGACGAATTGATAACCTCCCCTTTTTTTGAAGTCGTTTAAAAATTGTGTTCATTCTTTAACAAAACCCGTGTAAATCCAAGTTTCACACTTCGTGCAATATTTAAGAAAAAATCAATAAACTTGAGTAAAAATTTCTAGCGTTTTTAATTAGATTTCCTAGAAAGATTCAGAGTATGCAGTTTGTGGCTCACTTAATTCTAGTAGAATAACGCGCAAGTTTCAAATTGCTGAAAACTACCGTTAATTTTTTAGCTATTCTTCGTCCTATTTGCTTCCATATAACGAATAAGCACAATTTATTTTTAATGAAGGAAAATTGTAACATCTTCGACAAGAAAAAATTGGAAAAGCCATTTGAAACTTGCACTTTGTTCTACTAGAATTCAAACATCTACAAAACTTCACACCCAGAATATGAATAATTTTTATGAAAGTTTTTAAATAATGCACAAGTTTGAAACGTGGATTTACACAGATTTTGTAAAAGAATGCACTATATACATATATATAAAAAAATAACCTTATTTAAATAACATAAAAAAATATGGTATAACTTGCCAAAATGTCGTACGGTTATAACTTTTTCGCCCACTGTATGTACATATTGTATGTGGATGCATACGTACGTAATTGACCGACCCCCATGACAATTATTAGACGTCAGTTAATACGGGTATCAACACTGTGCTCAATCATTTCCACCTACCACTTGAGAACGCTGATAACGCCCAATATTTCAGGTTATTAGGTTGAATTCATAATATTGTAGCATTTTCGTGAGTTTGTTAGCGAAAATAAATTTTTTCACTATTTAGTGTCTAGTATATCGACCCCTTTGCGTAAAATTATCGCATGTGCCAGAAACCAAATTACATATACAGGAGATCGTTTTTCTACTTTTTTACACAAGAAAAAATGCATTATAACATACGATAAAATATAGAGTAAATTTTTGGCCTAACTATAGGGATTGCACCTATAATATTTTACCAGGTAATGCATTGTGGGGTGTAGAACAAATTTGAATGAAAAAGTAAATTTCGAAAAAATGGCATATACGATCGATCATTTCGCTCAAAGGAATCGATATATTCTGAAAGTTGCAAATGTTGTTACACAAATGGAGGGACCTACAATTTTACGTCGCCTTCGCATGGCAAATGGTTTTATAAGAAGCTTTTTTCGTGGCAAAAATACACTCAGAGGTTTGCCATTGCGTGCCGAACGGAGATCGCTGTTACAAAAAACCTATTCTAATTTAGATCAGCAGAGATCAAACCCAAGTCCTACGGACTTCCAATACCCAGTCACAGCAGCCATCACTATTTACTCATTCACAAATTAGACGAACGTAACAACGAATGATGAGTGAATGCACAAGTCGATCAAACGCAAACATTTATGTAGTCACAAGTAATTTTTAAGCAAAAAATACATCCAACCTCAATGCTCACATAAAAATTTAGGACGTGCCGTTAATTTCTTCACGATCCACTATCAAAACTAAACCAAATTAGTATGGGACCACCCTTGAGTTACCATCTTTCCGATAAGAAAAAAACATTTTTAACCAACAAGGAAGTTAATATTAGAAAATGCTTAAATACAAAATTGGGTGTTATTATTGGAAGTCTCCTAAAGAGAAACAGAGTTTTCCGATCGAAAAATACTGATTTCCAAAAATTCTACACCATTTCTACGAAAAACTTTTTTTTCTCTAGATAAGATACATGATACATTTTAAGGGACCTCATTAATTTTTTGAGATGGCAATTAAAAAAAAAAACAGGGGTATATTTTTTTTGGCATAAAACAATTCTAGAGGGTGAGAGTATTCAAATTCCGACTTTATTTCTTTTGGACCACCCTAATGTACATATGTATGTACATCAATAAGTTGCGACTAACCAAGGCATATCAAACATTTATGTGTATTTTGTTCCTACTACTGGTAAATATCGAAGGAGCCAAAAAATAGTATACTTTTTTTCTAATATCATACTGGGCGATGTAAAATATAAAAAAAATTCTTTGTAAATACACACTGGCCTCCCCGCTCACAGAGTTATTCACGCTGATTATTAGGCCCTCCAAAGGATGTATTAATGCTTCTGGAATGAAACAAATTTACAAAGAAAGAAAGTCGCGCCAGTTTTGATTTTTTTTTATTTATGTATTTATAAAAACTATATTTATTCGAACAAAAAGTAGTGAGTAGGCACTGTGGCCAATACATTCACACTCTCGTTGTCTTCGTCACTGTCTTGGATTTTTCGAACACGGTGAATTGTACATTAAATTGCACAATTCGGTAAGGACTTGTTTAATTTGGGGAAGAGGCAAAAAAACGCAGAACTATTTATGAAAAATTGGTTAACACTAATACACATTGGTGACAACTAATACATATTCTCAATTGTCTTGTCTAATGCTGGATTTCCACTCGGCATTAAATGGCAAAAATTACAAATGACAAAGTCGGGCATTAAAAAATAATCGTGTCATTACATTAAAAATAGTCATTAAGATCATTTCCACATGGCATTTTTTTTAATGACATATATTTTTTGTCATTTCAATGTCTAGTTTCCACCATTCAGCATAACGTAAACGCAAGGTTAGTCACGCAGAGTCCGCAAAAAACTCCGGAAGCACTGTCCGGAGGATGCATCAGACTAGGCCGGGCAAACTTTGAATTGCTATCAAATTATAATTTATATTTATTATATGGCAATTGAGAAGTGCACATGCAGCAGTACATAGCATGCATTTAGACGCTTGGTCTTATTAGTCGCGCGTAAGCATACCGGCCCCCCTAAGGGACTTGGTGGTCTAGTGGTTTTATACTCCTGAGTTAAGCAAACGTTTCAAAGGCTGGTTTCAATCACTTTTTTTTAGATTCACATGCAAAAAATTTGTCAATTAAAATTTATGTAAAAAAATCAACAATATTTGACAGTTTAGAGACCAAATAATCTGAAAAAAAAAAATCAAATCAGCTGCTCTACTGCTACTACCTGTTAATTATATGCCTTGCGACTAACACAAAAAATTCTTATTTTGAGTGAAGAAGTAAAAAGCTAGCTCCGAGAGCGCAAAACACGCAAATTCTAATAAATAAATGGGTAAATTCTTTCTTCCTTAAAAAAATACAAAAAAATAACAAAATAAAAGCAGCAAAAAAAATTAATTGAATAGAATTTACTTACTGCATATCTTTTTTCACTTATTTCAATTTTTTTTTACAGTTTAGTAAGCGAATTTTGGGTCATTTCTGCCCTTAACCGAAACCAATTATAGGTTTCTACCAAGTAAGTACAGTTTCATTGCAAGATTTTACACAGAAATCCTTTGAATGTCATTGATCAGAAAAATTTCTTATACTTAAGTATGTTTTAAATGGACTTTTCTTGAAACTTTGGGCAGCCATTTTTTACGACTTTTATTCAAAATCACGTACGTATAAGCTATACCGCTAATTGTTCAGATACAAGTTTCTGGGAAAAATCGCTTACTAAGCAAAAAAAAGTGGAACATTCCACTAGAGAGTGTCGTGGATTTTTCCTGCTAAAAGAATACCGTTCTAATGTTGATTAATCCCATTCGAATCGACATCAACACATGTATCACTGACAATGAGTACAGATTAACATCACTTCCACTTTTACCAAAAACGAAAATCCGCTTATCGCCAGTATAGCAATAAAATCGCGGGTCTTTACCGATGATTGATTGGATATTTACAAAACGGCGGGACATATTAGTGGCGTGGGAAAACTGGCAGTTCCGTTTATCTTGGATTCGACTAAAATTTCCAGTTATAGATTTAGCAACTAAATGAGAGAACAGTTATGTTCAACTTGCGCAGCGATAAACAACAATTTGTAGTGGTGCGGCAAAACTTAATACAATAGACTCATTCGTTGAAACGACGACGAGCTGATTTGCCGCTTTGATTAAATGTCAGCGACAGCAATAGCGCTAAACCTATTGGAGTATCATCATCAAATGCTACACGCAATCGATCAAAAAACATGTAACGACGCAAGGGAGTCAAAATATTTAGAGCCACAACAACAACAACAACAACTATTACAAACAGCAATGGCAACGAATCAATTCGATTTGTATGAAATTATAAATGATACGGTCTTAGCATTGATCCAATCCACAACCCTAGCCGAGTCGAGCACAACGCCATCATCCGCATTAAATGTTTCCGCCGTCTCCATTGCTGGCATCGGCACATCGACCATTTTTTGGGTCACATGCAACATACTCATAATGATCTGCATAGTTGCGGGCAATTCACTCAGCATATTGGCCATTACTACGTGTCGGCGCTTGCGCAGCTTAATCGCAAATATGTTCATACTATCGCTCGCCGTATCGGATTTCGGAGTTGGCCTATTGCTACCCTACCATATCGCCTTCTATTTAGGCTCAAATCTCGGACAGTCGAAACTGTTTTGCGTACTGCGATTCGTTCTCATCATTTTCTCCTGTTGCGTCTCCATAATGACACTCATTACAATCGCTGTGGATCGTTATATAGCAATCGTATATGCGTTGCACTATAGACGGTGAGTTTTAAAGTTTTGGGTACTTTTTTGCGACATTTTTACACTAAGTACTCGCGTACCGTTGTCATTTTAGGTTCATGACACGCCGCGTATCTTTTCTCATTATCGCCTTTAATTGGACGGCAGGTGCGACGGTGGCCATCATACCGGTTTTCAGCAATCGCTTCAAAACTGCCATTGAATGTGAATTCTATCAGGTATTGCCCATCTGGTATATGGCTGGTGTCATAATACCGGGCTTTGTGTTGATCTGGTTATTCATGCTCTTGATTTATTGGCGTATAATGCGTGAAGCCGCAAAGCAAATGGAACCATCGCGTTGCAATCGTGAAATGAAGAGACGCAGCAGCAAAAAGCTGGGACGCCGCATACCAGAATGGAAGTCTATGCAGGTGAGCGGTTGAGGAAAAGAAAGCAATAATGCAGTATGTACATGTATACAAAAGCTATTTGTTTTTGTTCTAACAATTTTATGACGAATAAGGGTGTACTAGATAGTGGTGCATACATATATGTATATGTATGTATACAAGCTGGCATTGAAGTAGACACACTCGGATTTTTTTTTTTAACCAAGTATCATTGATTACATCAGAGCTCAGGCTATCCGTATATTCGGATATCTGGACATGCGTTCGGATATTCGCGTATACGGACAGATAAAATCCGGATATGCGGATAACCGAATGAACCGATATTAACCGTATACCCGGATATTTTAAAATGTCTTTTTAACGGACTTCAGTGAATTCGAAAAAGGAGATATTTTTTAACTACATACGATGGCGGGAAAATAAAAGGGAACGCGACATTTTAACAAGCTTTGGCTGCTTTTCTTTTGTTCATTTAATTTTTTTTTTATTTTTTATAAAAGAATAGCTCACGATCTATAAAAACTACTATCAAACTTCGAAAAAGATTTAAAAAAAAAAATTATTCAGAATTAAAAAAAAATTCTAGGAAAGCAGTTTTGCAGCCCTTTAAATTTTAGAGCAAATTTGAAGTGACTTGGACTTACCGGACTTACCGTTGATCTTAAGTTATTTTTATTTTATTTTTTTACGTGCATTTTCTTCCTTACCGTCAGCGAAAAAAATCGTCAAAAGGCAAACTTTGTCAAAATTTCTTCAATTTTTTAATAAAGTATGAAATTTGGTATTTATTGGGTTTTGGCTTTCATAAAAAATTAAATAAAAAAATTAAAAAATTTTTAAATGTCGCACCCCTATTTATTTGCCTGCCACTGTAAGTACTTTGCCCAAACCAAAATCGTTTTTAATACAGAATTTACATAAATCAAGCACACCTATTTATGCGAGCCTGAGTGCCTTCATTACCCCGTTGCATGTGGGAGAGTGCGCCTATAAATAGACAACAACCATGCCGTTATCTGTGGCATAAAAAGACAAAATGCCGCCTTTTATATTAATAACAACCAACAAGCGTTCGTGAAAGTATTTCCACTATGCGAACAACATGAAGAAACATAAAATAAATCGCTGTCTAGTAAATAAATAAAGCTGCCAATAAAAATTTACGCTACTCACGCCTCAAAAAAAATACTCGTCAACGTATTACAATTGCGGTTTCGGATATTTTATGTTTCCACGCACATATGCACATTAGGGCGGGTCAATTTGTATGACAGCTTTTTTCGACTGTGCGCGTGTACATGGATTCTACGTGTAATTCTTAGCACATTTGCAGAAGAAAGTGTCGTAAAGTGCTTAAATTTTGTGTAAAGATATGCTACAAGGGTTTTTTGGTATGAGGAATCCATTTCTGCACTTATCTTTTTCTTAAACGCAACGGCAAAAATGTTCACATTTTCTTCAAAACCAATTTTCGCGATTTGCAAACTCTTAATTGATTTCAGACCCATAGTTTCTCCAGCAAATTTTCTTAGAATTACACGTAGAACCCTCTTATGCTATACGCGCATAGTAAAAAAAAAAATAATAATTGGCCCGCCCTAATGCACATCCATAAATGTTTCTATTTTACGTATTTACTTCCTTATCACTAAATTTTGTACACACACATATTCAAATTTTCCACTCTTCATTCACAGATTGTTGTTTTGATAATGGGTTGTTTCTCCATTTGCTGGCTCACTTATTTCATTGTCGTCTGCTTGGAGATAGTAAAAGTGTACAACATATCATTGGTGATATACAAAATGGCCTTCTCCTTAGCCATGTTCAATTCAGCTATGAATCCAATTATATATTGCTGGAAGAATAAGAGTTTTCGTCGAGCTTATTGGCGTTTGTTGCGTTGCAAAAATCCGAATCATAATAAACCGAATGCTATGGATTTGATAGCGTGTAGTGTGAATTCAATACAAAGTTTATCGCGACGCAACAGTACAATTACAATAGCTGTTATCCCGATGCCCACGGCAGCACCGATCAAAGGAACCGGGCCCCCGATCAACGTGAAGCAGAATGTGTTGGAGCAAGCAGTTGCTAGTCAAGAACAAAAATGACTGAGGCGAAGAGCCATTGTAGATTTAAGAAAAATGGTAAATAAAGAGGAAATACAAATTTTAATCTATCCCTCAATTTTTGTATCTCTTTATTTCTATTTCGCTCTCCCTCTATTTATATTTCGCTCTCCCTCTATTTATTTCTATCCCTTTCTCTATTTCTATTTTTCTTTGTCTCTATTTCGATTTCTCTCTTTTTCTCTTTCTACCTTCCTCTTTTTTATCTCCCTCTCATCTTCTTTCCCTTTTTTTGACTCTCCTTTTTGTCGCTCTCTTTTTCTTTCTCCTTCCTTTCTGTGCCGGTTTTCTTTCTCTCCCTTTTCTTTTACTCTCTTTGCCTTCTCTCCTTTTTCTCCCTCTCTTTTTCTATCTCTCCGTTTTCTCTTTCTCCTTTTCTCTCTTTTTCTTTGTTCTGTCTCATTCTCTCTGCAATTTTATGTTTTTTCTCGATCTATTTAGCTCTCTTTTTAGCTCTGTAATCTTCTCTTTTTCTTTCTCGATCTACTTATCTCTCTTTCTCTCTATTTACCTCTCTTTCTCTCTATATATTGATCTCTCTTTCTCTTTATATATTGATCTCTCTTTCTCTATCTATTTACCAGTGTTGCCGTTTTCCAAAAAAAGTTTGCCCATTTCGCTATTTGCCGTATTTTATTAAAAATCGGTGAAAATTTTCATGTCGGACTGTGTTAAGTATATAAAATTGAAATAATTTTCTCTAATCCGAAAAGTCTTAAAATACTGGACCGATTTCTATTATTTTTATTTTATGAGAATATACGGTGACCCAAATATGAACCGGAACGCGGCATTTTGGCTTATTATTTTTTGAAAGCATAGCTAGCTGATTACTTACAAACACCATTTAAATCCAAATTTCATATTTTATGTAAAAATTGTGAAAATTCTGCATTTTTTTAATTTTTGTATAGTAAAGTGCATTTTTAAGGTATGTATGTAGCTGGTCGTTGATTTTTGGCAATTTTTTGTTGATCATATTCCACATTTTTTTCCATATACAAAAATTTTAGAACCTACTTTGTATGGAAAAAAATCGTACACCGTTATAAAAAAAAAGAAATACAAAAATCAACGGTAAGTCCTAGCTACTTAAATTTCACCATATCATACTAAATTTCAATGACCTACAAAACTGCATACATACCATTTTGTAAAGATGTTGATTAAAAAGTTAAACATTTTGGTGAAATTTTGGAGAATTTTCATAATTTTCTTACAAAGTCTGAAATTGTGACTTATATGGTGTTTGTTGAGTAATCAGCTATATTTTCATAAAAAAAAAAAAATAATAAACATTCAATAAACTAAAACAAGTAAGAGCAGCGCTGTCTTCGGCTATGCCGAAGGCTTTATACCTTTCATGAAGCTCTGAAAATTTTACTTTAACAGATTACTGCCGTTGAAAAAATTTATATATTCACAGCATACATAGATAGAGGAGATACATATGTATAAAAAAATAATATCTAAACAATCAGAGGTATGGAAGATATACCTTATACAGCACCAAACTAAGTGATTTTGACTGCTGTGTGATCGGTATGTAAACCGGTAGATATATCGCAAAAACTGGTATCTGAGCAATCAGTGGTATAGGATATAAAGCTTATATAGAATAGAGTTATAACAAAAAATCGCATATCTGAACAATCAGTTGAATGGGAGCTATATGTGAAAAATATGTTGGCCTGTTTTCTTCAGCCCTTTCACAGCTTCACGTGTTCATTTCTCTAAATATCGCCCTCCGACTAAGAAAAATACCTAATACTAATATAGCCATTTTTCTGGATGAAAAGTAACCTAGTGCAAATGTTACAATGTAAGGTAAAATTTTTAAATAAAAAAAAAAAAAACGCCATAAGTTTGTATATCGTCGGAATATTTTTTTTATGTATGTTACCGCTTAACTTTGGACGACCACGTTAACCGATTACTATAATCCTTTTTTTAAAGGAAAGGTGTCACCTGACAGGTGGTCCCATTCTAACTTAATTTAAATCCGTTCATTGGATCATGAAGAGATTAACGATAATCTTAAATTTTTATATGAGCATTGAAGTCGGTTTTATTTTTTGCTTAAAAATTACTAGTAATTTAAACATGGTTACACAAAAGTAATTTGTAATGAATTTACCAGTCTCTGGTTTTGTGATTTATTTAACGAGTGCTGTAAAGCTTAGCTGCTATTTACCTCTTTCTTAGCTAATTATCTACTATTTCTCTCTTATCGATTTCATCTCTCCTTACATTATCTCTTACTCAATTGATTACATCTCTCCCAATCGACTATATCTATCTTTATAGATTGGATATATCGCTCTCTTTATCAATTATGAATTTGTTTCCACTCACCTCAATGCCGGTTATACCCAAAGCGTCCTCCAAGTTGGGTGTCATACGGAACGGCACCTTCTCGGGCACGCGTAAAGTTTTGCCCTTCTCAAAGCATACATTATAATCGATATGCACAATTTCACCCGAAGTTAAGTTAATCAGCACATTGTCTAAGTGTCTATCACCCAGGCCGATCACATAGCCTATGACTGACATCACAGACATGGATAAAGCATAACTGCGCACTGAGTTGCGCCAATCGACGGCGGTATTAGCAAAGCACCACAGCTCTTTAGCCAGCAAATCTCTTGGTGTCTCTTTGATTAGCTCCTCCAGCACACGGCGTAATATTGCAAGTGGCCACTGCTTCCGCGGATCGGTGATTTTCAAGCCCTGCTCAGCTAGTAAGGGTGTCAACTTGCTGTAGAACAACTCCGAAGGGCGCGTAGCAATCGGTGCAATATCCACATGTTGTCCACCACCTTGCTGTGATGCTTGACGTTCCTTTTGTTGTTGCTTTAACGCAGCGTCCCGCTGCTGCCACTTCTTATAGATGGCAAAGAGCGGTGTGACACCATCAACCCAACTGATTAGACCCGATTGTGAGCCCAGCGGTATGACGGAATAATGATGCGCTTTGAAGGCGCGTGTGCGCTGCAATGAATCGACACCCATATACGTGCGCGCCATCATCGAGTTGGAAATGGAGAGAAACTGCATTATGCGCTCGTCCAAATGCAGATCCTCCAGACCTTTAAATAGGTAGGTGTATTTGCGTCCATCACTGCCATAGAAAGCCAACTTCTTAGGTTTAGTCTTTGTGGGCAAAATATGTACCGCGCTGTCTACGGATCTTATATACACCGGATCCTTTGCGTATGTGTCGACACCTGGCATGGATATGGCTGTATTGCGCATATTCTCCAGCGCTGGGCTGAGGTCGGCGATTTTCAGTGTGGACGCATAGCCACGCAGTGAGCGTTGCTGAAAAACGCTGTATAACTGCTTGATGCGCACCCAGCCATCGAAAGGCTTAGCGGGATTGAAAGGCTGATTTAGCTCGTTTATTGTGCTGGCGATCAGCGCGCTATAGCGCTCTTGGAAATTTCGCTCATAGTTGGTATCAGCCGTTTTGCTAGTGACGGCAGCAATACGTTGCATATCGTAAACCACGTGATTCATCAATATCGAATACTTTAACATTATTTTTTCTGTGGCTGTGCCGCCAGCTTTCTTCAGTTCTGCCTCTAGCGCGTTAAAAAGTGCCGAGTATTCGCTGTACAATTGCGAGAGCGAGTGCGCCCAATATTCCTCCCACAGCAGGGTGACGCGTTTCAATTCCCTCACCAGCAGTTGCACATGCGCTACAGTGTCCGGCGCTTGCTGTGACAACGTTTGCAACAATGAGCGGAAACAGTTTGAAAGTGGCGTACTACATTTCTGCTCTTTGTTATTTCCGGTGTTGTTTTCCTTGAACAAATTATCGCTTATTGGCGTTGACTCTTTCGATTCCTGATGCGCACCCACAACCGCAGGAAATATGATTAGATGCGGTCGATCCTGTGCCAAGCGACAGAGTAGATCAGATACACTTTTGCGCACGTAAGGTTCATGATGGTTGAGCCGGCTAAAGAGTTGCGGTATGATGACTTTCCAAGGTCGCAGTGGTGTGTTGCGCAGGCCCTCCTCAAGTACATCTTGCAGTCCAGCGGCATATTTAACAATCAAACGCAGCAAGCGCAATGTTACCGTGACGGAAGTGCAATCACTGGGTGCGTTTTTCGTCTCACATTGCTCATTGCCAATGGATAGATAGTTGAAGTACGCTTTCGTAGCCATTTCGTAATAGACATAGATGCTGCGGTGCGCCTGCCGCCAGATTTTGATTATGCTTGCTATTTGCTCCGATGGCTTATCAGCCAGTACGTCCACGCGCCGCAAGGCGTGCTCTATCAATTCGCTAGAACTGAGTTCGCTCTTTTCTATATCCTCCTCTGCATCGATGCTGCTCAACTGCTGGCCGTTCAGTACACTGACTACTTGGTTGATCTCATCATCACTGACATTGCCGCCCATGATATCGCGTATGGCGTGCATTTCCCGTTGTGGCAGTCCGCTCTTCATTTGATTTGTATTCTTTGCATCCATCAGACGTTTACCCCAGCGATAGCACCAATTGCCATAGGCGAACCAAGCTTCGCAGGAATTTCTTTGCTGGCAGATGCTGGCATTGATCAGCTTGCCAATCGCCTTCTCCGCCGGTGGTATCAACGTGTTTATTGCTTCGTCAGCACTTTCTTTCACCAATTGCACCGACAGATCGGGCAGATGCTGCAATAATTCTTGTATTTCTTTAAGAGCCAAGGCTGCGTTGACGTTGTTATTTGCCAAGCTGGGTCCACTTACACTGTGGCAAGTTAAAGGGACACCAACACGCGGCGACAACCAATCAGCCAGTGTCAGCAGCATGTCTGCGCTGCTGGATGGATATGTTGTGTTCGGTTGCTCCTGTATTTGTTGTATGATTTGCGTGCAGAATGCAGCCCCCAGACTGATGGCGTTCATTTGATTAGCCGAATTGATGTAAGAGCACTTGGCTAACTCGCTAAAGCCACGTATCAAATCCGCATCACGTACACTCACAGTGTACTCATTTTCGCGCAGCTGCCGTGATACTTCGGATAGCGAATCTTCAAATCCCTTTAGCCGGAAGAAGCGTTGCAACATCGAACGACAAAAACCAGAATTA